TGTTTAATGAGTGCAGCCAAAATATAGCACATGTTTGTGGCTTTTGCAAACAATAATCTAATTGTCCCTTACTGGTAGTTAGACAAAACAACATTGTTCTGTAAATATCAGAGCTTGATGTAATTTGCATTTTTATATCGGAAATCCTTTTGGTTTTTTCTTTGCTCTGCCTACTTCGAGATGATGTACAGGTTTGTAACAGAAAAATAGACTTTCCTAACCTAATTTTTTTGAAGGTTGGTTGTGCTGTGCATCAGTTAATCTACTCTACACATTACAAATTGCTAAAGACTCTAACCATAATGGTTTTGCATGGCAAGTGACTTACCGGTAATTGCCCAATGTTGTAGTTAAAGTTAATCATTTATTACAGCTTTAAATTTACATTACTTCATGATAAGGTAGTCCTGAGGTAAATTTTCCCTATTTGGCCAGGATTTTGCCATCCAGACCATTTCCATGGAAACAGACATCAGCCATGTTTTTTCACTAAAGCCGCAAATTCAAGATACACAAGTTTGATCCAAGTGCCATATAATAAACTAATTACCAACCTTGCTTGTTCCAGTGGTACAGGGGAACATTGGCTCTTGATTACTTTTGTACAGACTTCACTGTGCTCAGTCTATATTGCCACAACCTCGGGCCAATATTCTCCAGTACGGCCCTTGGTTAATAAGAAGTTATTATTTTTCTCTGTGGTGAAGTATAATGATAATGAGTTTGAAACATCTGCACTGTAAGCCTTAAAATGTGTACTCAGTTAAATTTTTCTAACCTGTTTAGGGAAATCAGTTTCAGCAAAACATATTTGTGTATTCAATTATATGGAATGCAATAAGGACAGCCAGTCATCATCCTTGTCAGGGTTTGCTACACTTGTTTTGTCATACATCAACTATTTGAGTTGCAGGATGGTGGTGATTCTCTATACTATTTGTATCAAATGTCCAATCATGTTAGTTTTGAGAAGTTGGTGTTTAATGAATCTATTCCATGATTTAATAGTTTACCCTTTCCTCATCACTTATCTGCTGCTACTTGTCTAGAAGAGAGAGTATCTCTTGGTCACTGCTGAACAAATTTTTCTTTTGAATATCCAACAGATGTGAATTCAGTCATGACTATGTCATTGTAGAAGAAATTTGTAAAACAATTCTTAATCAAACCAAACATCTACCTACCATTGGTATAATATGTGGCACTGGTTTGTCATCATTGGGAGACATTGTCAAGGATAAGGATGCCATTCCTTATGAGAAGATCAAACACTTTCCAAAGAGCACAGGTACATTAGTGAATCAAACATCAATCATATTTGTCTTCTGTGAGTGAGTTTGAGCCAGTTATTCACTGTTCCATAGCTCGTAACTAGAATCATCTATTGAATTGTAAGAATCTCATACCCACCAACAATTAATCATAGTTTAGGCTCTTGTCATTGATTGTACCATCATAAAGACAATGGTATTTAAACCAATGTTTTTGCATACTCAGTTAAAGGACATGTTGGGCAGTTTGTGTTAGGCCTCCTTAATGGTAAAACTGTGGTCATGATGCAGGGTCGCACACACTTATATGAAGGATACACAGTTGGCGAGGTTGGTTTGGTTTCTGTATTTAAAATATTGTTGGTTAAAAAAGACACTTAAGTTCATGAAAACTGATTTGTCAGTTTTTTCATAATTTTACTGGCTTAAAGACCTGAGCAGCAAGAGTCAGTTCCCATCCAGAAAAAAAAAAATATGTGATCACACTTGTAGTAACATGTGTGATTCAAAGTGTGATCTCAGATGTGATCCCAGGAGTTTTTTTTTTTGGTCTTTCCAACTTCCTGTTACTTCAATTTTATTTCTTCTACCCTTGTTAAGTTAACCTGTTAACTGTACCCCCCCTCCCCAAAAAATAAATGAATAAAACAATGTTGTACTGTGATTCCATGAATCTTTAGCTACATAAGGCAACATTGAACTGAAGGGAAGGGGGGGGTCTTGTCAATGATTAAGAGTGTGGTAGACACAGGAGTGTCATTTTTCACAAACATGACCAATTTTGATGCACATTGTAGATAATTAGACAATATGATAAGAGGATCCCTTATTGTTGACATAACTGATCATCAAGATGATGTTATTTGTTCTGTATCACAGATCACTCTTCCAGTTCGTGTGATGATCCACTTGGGTATCAAAACTTTGATTGTCACTAATGCTGCTGGAGGACTTAACAGAAGTTACAATGTTGGTGACATTATGGTTATCAAGGACCATATTAATCTTGCTGGACTTACAGGGGAAAGTCCATTGAGAGGTGTTAATGATGGCCGGTATGTTACCTTAAATTTTGTAACCTATATTCTTCGTAGTAAATGTATGTATCAATGTTTTGGGTAATTAAATAATACAGATATGTGATCTTTTCATTAGTTTTGGTCCAAGATTTCCAGCCCTCTCTGATGCATATGACCGATCCCTTGTTAAAACTGCTATCGATACAGCCGCTCACTTGGGCTATTCAACATTCATGCAGGAAGGAGTTTACTGTGCACAAGTTGGGCCAGCTTTTGAGACCCCTGCAGAATGTAGATTCTTAAGCATGGTGAGATAACATTTTGATCACTTGTTCTGTAAAGTAGAGATCATCACTTAATTGTTGTGAATAATTGCAGGGAAAGTATTCTCACAATATTTTACAGAATACTGTACGTCATGGATATTTAAAGTAAAGGAACAACAAATGAGGGGATTTGATATGCAATTTTGTGGCATTAACATGGCCTTCCAAGTCTGGGAAGAACATGGATCTTATTTAAGATATTGGAATGACTGTTAAATATCAGAGATCAGTCAGCAAATAGACTTTTATTTCTGGCAAGTGCAATTAAAGGTTGCCAAGTGGCAGTGATGAAAAAAGGTTGGAGCCATGTATTGGAGAGCAAAACCATTGGAATCCCTGATTACATTTCACTCTCAGCTGTACTTGTTGTTTCCCCAAACCACCAATTAACCAAAATGTGTTTGTCAGGTTGGGGCAGATGCTGTTGGAATGAGCACAGTGCACGAAGTGGTGGTGGCAAGGCATGCTGGGATAAAAGTTTTAGGCATCTCTTTAATAACAAATGTTGCTGTCATGGGTTATGATGACAATGTCAGTGCTGCCAACCATCAAGAAGTGCTGGAAACTGGAAAGAAAAGATCTGCTAACATGCAGAATCTGGTCTCCACCATTGTTGGTAAAATTTAATTTGTCTGATGGTTTGGAATATGGTGGCACAAGCAAACAAGAATGTAATTTTTATGATGTAATAAGACAATTCCTTGCACCCCTATGGATACAGCCTAATTATAAAGTAAATATTTGATCAAGTCATCCTCATAAAGAGTTTGTTTCCTATTGCCCCATAACTTTCTAACAGCTCTTTTATGAAACTATACAATACGCAAAGTTAACTTTTATTTTAGATGATAACAGGGAAAAATTATCTCAAATCAACCTTGAATAAAGAGAACGGGGGGAAACAGATCCTTGGGTGGAGTTAAAAAGTTGTGTGTATCCCAAAACTGTGGAAAAAATAGATCACAGGAATAAGCATGGCAAAGTTCTCTTCCAACCCAAATCACTCCCCACCCCCCTCCCTCACCCCCTCACTTCATCAGCCCCTGGGTGGGTGTTCTTTTCCTTTTAAGCCACTTTCTCAAGAGGAAAGGAAATTGGATGAGAAACTTTTTATGGTGATGACCTTAATGATAATAGAATGCTTGGGATATCTAATTAAAGAACAACATGTGATCCCTCTTAATTTCAGTATTTTGGGGGTGATATTTACTAACTATTAATTTGTGTGCAATACTATTAATTTTTCCTCTTGGTTTTTTTGTAAAAGTTATTTCATGAGGAGCATAGAATATAGGCATTTTGAGCCAGATATGTCATGGTGGATCAAATGTCCCTGAAGTGTTTGCCTCCTAAAATAGGCATCTCTCAAAAAACCACTCTAAAGGAATAAGAATAGCAAATAAAGATATAGTAATTTTAATTTACATTAATTTGAAAAGACATCGAGCGAAATATGAAAGAAACAAAACCCATTATTTTCTGATAGCCATATTTTTTTCTGTCAAGACCAAAAAATATTAATAATGTGTGAGAACTATCTTCTTTGTAACTTTGTCTGTAGTATGTAGTATGGTAAGAAGTGACTGAGTAAATGGTATCATGTGATGTCAATTTGAAGATTCAACCTGCCAAAATGCCCAGAAGGTTGCCCAGAAGGGGGAAGTTGAAGTTGAATTGACTGACGCATTATTAATTTTTTTTCTGATGTAGACTGTTGTAAACCTTAACAACAGAGAACTGTTAGCTTGCAACCTTTGTTTGGTAGTTCCATATTTGTTTCAGGCTGTAATATGTTTTCTAATTGTTGGGAATATTATAATAATTGTAATTCTGTGCTGAATTTTCCAAAGAACTACATCAGATGCATTAATTCCACATTCAAGCTGAATTCTTTGGTGCATATTTCAATTTGTTTAGTTTTTTTTTAGTGTTCCCAAAATCCAAAGGAAACTTCTTCCAATTACATAGAACTTTGATTATTATAATTTAGATGATTGTTGAGATGCTGTTCACCTATTCTGATTGATTGGGCATAACATCATTGAGCAGTTTTCAATTGATGTCTCTAAAGGAGAAAATGAAGGAAAACACAGTTGCTATTGGTGTCTGTTTCACAACTATATGTACTCTTTCACATTTCTCTTTCAGGAAATTAACGTTTCCTTCATATTTAATGGTTTGAAAATATTAATTTGAGGTATATACTGAGGTATGTTGTGAGAAAATTGCATTACATAATACACCATAAAGAACAGTTGGATATAATATTAATAACAGTTTGTTTTAATATTGCTGTTGTTGAAGTGTTTTCTTTCTATAAGTTTGTTTTGGAGAAAAACTCTGAGTGTTTTTATTTATCATTTGGTAATTTTTTCCCACCCACCCCTAAAATCCCTGAGACATTCCCTCCTTTGAAGGAAATGAGACATTTGTAACAAATCCCTCACAATTTTTTTCGTTTAGTACCCACTGCAGGTAATATCAAGTATTCCTACAATTTAGGAAATAATTTGTTGCACAGCATATAATTTTTAGAATAAATTCAATATTTTTGACTTTAAATCCAAATTTAGAATATTCCTATAGAGATTTTACCGATAAATAACTTAATTTTACTCCAGAGGTCCTATCCTCTACTATCTTTGCCCATGAACATTCAGTTCATATTCTTCATTATCATCATCACTTCCAAGCTTTTCTTGATCTGCGAGGAGCAGGCCTTTTAGTTCAATATCACCATTCAACTTGAGTTCCTCTATTTTCTGTTTGCTTAACTTCAAATTCTCTGAATCTGAAAAGAAAATTAGAATTCTTAAATTTAAATTTTGGCCAATAAAAGTTGCAGTATATGGTATTATAGTCAATCAATGCCAATCCTGGAAGACGAAATTCTTGAGAAGTGCTTGCTAGTATTGTAAATAGATTGAGTACCCAATACAAGTCATTGTAACAGTGATTCTGGTTACATATACTTGTTTGATGGTTTGCTGATAATGTGAGTCCAACAATGTCCTCATTCTTTATGAAACCTACCTCTTGTTGCCTTTGCCACAACATGGACACTTATTCCAATTAGACACAGGACAAGCCCAAAAAAGTTCACAGTAGTCATTCTATCCCCTGCAAACTCAGTGGCAAGAGATAATGTACAGATTTCCTTTAAATAAAAAGAAGGGTTGGGTTAAAAAAAAGTAACAAAACTTTGTGTTACACAACAATCAACCTCATCAAGAATTAATGGAACTGAGCAGTATGACAAAGGTACACGTGTATCTATAGCCACCCCAACAGCAGTCACCACTCATAACCCTTTACACGTTAGTGTCATGCATATTCTCCATACTGTTCTTTATACATTTCCTAAGGTGCTGACAAGGAGAATTTGTTTACTGATCAAAAGCTTCTTTACTTGGTGATCATTTCCTTCATTCTCATAACCTTAATGTGTGATTCAGGGGTGATATTGTAAGGAGAAATTAGATGCTAGTCACTTATAAGGTGAAAGGGTTTAAAACACCATCACATTGAACCACTAAGTTGAAAACTATTTACTTGCCAAACCCACCGCTTATGTGAAAAAAGTTCACCCTGAAATACATAGAGGGGTCCCTGATAACTTTCTCAAAATAAACCTTTGATGAATTTGTAAGTTCTAAGTGTGATTTTTTTCTTGTTGGTTTTTCTTTTCTTCTCTTTTTCTCTTTGCGTGTTTGGAGTCCATTTATTTAAGTCTTTTCACTCTGTAATTATACTTATTGTTTCATTAGTGCTTTTCTTGTCATTTTGTTGCCGCCTTCTGTCGCTCTGTACTGCCTGCATAATTTATCGTGTAATATAACCGTTTCCTTTTTTTTTTTTTTTGCTAAGAGCAGTTGAGTAATGTTTCTGTGGTCGTAACAATGTAAGTATTTCATAGTCATGTTGTTCGTTATTTTTTTAGGTTGTATATTGTGTAACTAGTGTAACCGTTTGTTATTTTCTTTAGTTTCAACCAACGTCAGTCTTAGAGTATTAAAGATCATGCTTGTATAAAGACGTGGAGTTGTCAATTTCAGCCACAGATTCCACATAAGTGCAGTTATAGAATTACTGACATCAAGCCACATCACATTTACAGGCAGTGTATTTCACTAATATCAGAACACAAAAGTAAAGTACACAGAAAGCAGCTAGAGCACAAAAGAAGTGTAGGAGAAATAGGAGTTGTAGCTGAGTGTTTCTCCCCACTTCTTGAGTGCTCTAGCTGCTTCCTAGTGCTTTACAAGAAAACAGAGTACAGTCAAGGCTTCCCTATTTGTTTTACAATAAAAAGTCTGTTAAATTCCCTACGCATTTCTTTCAAATTTCAAAACAAACTTTATTTCTTAAGAGAACAACAGTGTTGTCAGCATGCTCAATACTATAATAGACCACACTCTTTCAACTAATGACACTGCACATTATATCCAAACGTTATAATAAAACTGCTCAGTATGTGATCCTATTGATGACATCTTTCAGTTTACCTTAAATATTCCTGATATGGAGAGTGTTAAGCTTGATGTATGGGAGAGAAGAAGAAACTCAGAAACACTAATCATGAAGGCTAAGAAACACCCAAACATCACCATGGCAATGGTCACCCATAAGGTATAACTATCTGAGGCCCTGAAAAGCTTTGGTGACATGGCCAAGTCCTGTCCTACAAAATCACAAATAACAAGTATTTAATTAATTTAACCTTTTAAACCCTAATATCTGTGTACATATTCTCCATACTGTTCTCTCAGCATTTCCAAGGGTTCTTAAGAGGAGAACTTGTTTTACAATCAAAAGTTTCTTTAGTTATTGATCATTTGTTTATCTGTGTGACTTTTAAGTATGATTCAGGGGTGATATTGTAAGGAGAAATTACAAGCTAGTCACTCTTAGGGGTCAAATGGTTAGACATTTATTATAAACTTGTTCTTGCTGGAAGGAAACCAAGGTGTAAAGTAGTTCTGTAGTAAGTATGCATGTTAATAAGTGTTGGCAATAACTCCCTGATTTGCTAACTTGCTAGGATCGACTATTAATGAAATTTCAACAAAAAGACAATGTATTTTTAGTTGATTGACTTACCCTCTATGTAAAATGCCAGGGGAATCAGAGTTAATGTCATAAAAGGTTGGAGATGATAAAGTGTATCAAGGGGGTTGTGAAGACCTACAAAAGGATAGAAACATAAGAGCAATGTACATGTAGTAAGACCTTAACTCTTAGGGTATTTGTTTTGTGTACAGTACTGTTATAAATGTTTTGAATCCACAACTGTTGAAGATAAATAAATGTTTCTTAAAGTACTCAATTTTAATATTTCAGTTATCACTATTACTCATGTTAACAAGAACCACACCTAAATCTTCTTTCTGTGTTAAAATCTGCGCAAGTGTCCATCGTAAGCCACTCAGTGCTGAAGCAGTTAACACCTTGAGGATGAAATACACCATAGTGAAATATTAGATCCATCTTGAACACTAACCTTTCATGTCAGTGTCATTTAACCCTTTAATTACCAGAACTGATTAACATGTAACTTCTCCCTATAATATCCATACATTATTGAGCAAACAGGTAATGAGAAAACTCAAACTTAGACAAGTAGAAGTTGTTATTTTGATCTATCCCCAAATTCTTGTAACAAATTTACCAGGGAATGAGTAGAAGTAAGAGGGGAGAGTTAACAATCAGATCTTGGGAGTTAAAGGGTTCACTAAAATTGAAAATTATGACTGAAATTTAAACACAACTGATAACCATAGATAAACTAAACAATTTCTATCACCGGAGAATTGAAAAACACCATTTAAAAAATATATACTTTTGTTTTTGTTATTAACTTACCAAGAGAAATCCCTCCATATTGAATTCAGTAGCCTCATAAGTGAATAAAAACAAGCCACTCGCAATTAACAGGATTACAGCCACCAATGAAAAGTTCTGTCAAATACACAAAGAAAAACAAACTAATGGTTATTGGGTTAAAAATTATCTGCTGTGAAAATCTACGCGCTCAGCATTATTTTCAGTGTTCTATATCATTTGCAATTATAGCTATTTCAAAACAGTCTAAGATCACATGCTTGGTTTAAAATAATACATGTAGATAGCTGACTTGTGTAAAAAATTGTTTTTATGAAAAATACCTAAAGAAATATCTCAAAATCTGATACAAACAGAGCAAAATCCTGTCAAACTTGTCACAAGCTATTAGTCTGTCCCAACAAAGCAAAGAGTGGGTGAGTGACATCATCTTTTTTTGAAGGGGGGGGGGGGGGGAATGCTTGGTTGCTTGATCTCACCAATCAGATTTTTAAACTCTAAATATACAAAAACTACAATGGGATACATTTTATTACTTACCCAATGCTCTAATCTGAGAACAAGAGCAAACATGAGGATGAAAATAATGCTTGTAGATTTAGTCATGGTGTATCTGAAATAAACAAGGGAAGATTACTTGGTTATCTCTATTTATTAAAATTGTGCAAATTAGAGGATAAATCTGAATCATTACTGAATCTGAATCAGTTATGTTCTGTATCTCAATTTGTCAAATTAACCCTTTCACTCCTAAGATCTCATTAGTAATTCTCCTTACTACCTGCCATAAAATTATTGTCAGTTTTGAGAATTTGCTATTGGATCAACTAATGATATCCTAATTAGCCTTTTTTTAAAATTCTCATCACTTGTCTGCTTGATATTGTTTTGATAATGTAAGGAGAAATTCTGTCTTGGTCACTCAGGGAGATAAAGGGTGGACAAAATTGGGGATTTAAGCAGAACTGTTAACAAGCAAAACTTAGTGTCTCATTTGTAACCATCATATTTACAGAAGGTGCCAGAATCTTGATGCAATTCATCACAGGATATATGTCATGGTTTTCATGTTCATAAGGTAAAACAATTTCAATAAACAAATTAATTGCATCTGATAAATTGATCAATGGCATTTGAGTCTTTGTGAGGGGCTTTTTCTTTGACCAAAAATAACTAGGGAAAATTCCTCTTTACTGTATAAGAAACAATCTTTCCCAAAATTGAAACTGCTTTGTCCTTGTTAGGAAAATGAAATAACACTTCTGCAAGTGAATTTTATATACAGGTGATTATTGCATTTGGTCAGGACTTGGAAAGAGTTTTCAAATTACATCTTGTACCTCAATTGTTTCATGATTTTTTTACATCTTCATGAGTATGTCACAGAATAGGGGGAGAGGAAACTGGGGGGGGAGGGGGATACCAGATCAAGTGTTTTTAATTTTCATGACCAGTGAAAATACAAAATTAAAACCACCTGAACTGTAACTTTTTTGCTTTTCATGATGTTTCAGAACATTACAAATTGGCTACTTGGGAAAACAAACCAGTCTTTGTGTACCAATGGTATAAAATTCAGCTTTTCTTTCATTCATTCCACTTACTCAAGTAAAAGGTACCCATGACATTTGAAAAAAACTCTCCCAATGTGAACATTTAATATCCTCCACTAATAAATGATTCATTCCATGAGAAAATACCTACAATGACACTGTGATGAACATTAAGCTCCAGTTAGAAAACCCAATGTCCAGAGCACAAGCTATTGCTAGAAAAAGAGGAAATCAAATAAAATCAGAGTTAAGGGCTATCAGCAATCTCCTTTTCACCTACATGGAACTGTAATCTGTTGGAAAGTTTACCAAATTAACCAGAAAACATGTTACTTTATACACCAAGACAATGAGCTACATTACTCACACATGGCAAGATCTGCTGCAAAACTTTTCCTCTTTAAGGGTCATTTTAAAAATTAAGTACTTGAACATCAGTCTTATACTTTATAGAGCTGTTGTTAATTATTTGAGGAATCTTCAAATATCTCATAAGGTACCAGAATATAAAAAGGAAGAACAATTCTTAGAAGACAAGATGCAAACATTTGGGGTCATAAGCTAGTCTTAAGTACAATTAAAAGAATTTTCCACCCTCTCACCTGTGGGTAGAACTCTTTTCAAGTACACAGACCAGGGTAAAATAATACGTGTCTTCCCTGTCTTTAATTCCCAAAGGAATCTCAAAATTGCCGCAATGACAAATACCATTGCATAGTGTACCACTGACACAGACAAAGGAAAGTGAAACCTCTGAAATAAAGGATGAGAGCATATTACATAAAAAATATACAAGAGTCATTAAGTACAAATCACACACATTCCATCCGCTAGAGATAAGCATAATTATCACATGATGTGTGTGGCCCCATTTGTGCACAATCTCATAGAAAACCATGGTGAAAGCTGATGTATGTAGGGTTGACTCAAGCAGGTCCAGAAAAACCTGGCCAGCCTTGCACTCTCACAGCTTTGTTGCACAAAATTGAAGGAAAAGAGCAAAAAAAAAAAAAGTGGCATTTTTCAAGGAACTAACTGCGAGTTTCTTTTTAAGACTCAAAAAAACAAGGAAAAAGTTTTTATTGCAAAGTCTTTTTTCCCTTTGTCCTACATGTACCAGTCTATCACCTCCTATACAGTAAAAACCCATATAAAGAACCTGTGTTTTGAGGGTTCAGGCTGATTTTGTTTTTATTTATCTGGTGTTTCCTGCAAAATCAGCTTGAAAATGTTCTTAAGGTGTTCTTAAAATTGTTTCTAAACATTAAATACTACATTAAATACCAACAGATGAACTCAATGTGCAAGCACAACATTTTAATTAATGGATGGAATTAACCTTATAACTACATTAATCAAGGTAATAATATTATATTGGTGGAGGGGTAGCAGATCTGGTGCTAAACAACTGGAAACTCAGCAAAAGTCAAGTAAATTCAAAATGCACCAGCTCCCCCATGATCCCTCTTTCCAGTGTTCTACTAAGGTAGAGCACTGGAAAGAGGGATCATTTTTCAGGCTGAATGTGTTCTTGTGTATTTGGTACTTTTTTGAACAAATTTCAGCCTGAATGTTCTTAAATGCACTTGTTCTTTTATGCAGGTTTTTACTGTCTTTAGGCTAAAATAAAAGTTTTGAAATTTTCAACACTTAGTGCTTATCTGATATATGCTCATTAACTGAGTTTGGTTGGGTCAGACAGGAAAACATTTGACTCATCACACAAGGACCTCACTCCCCCTGGTCTGTATATCATGACCCCAAGCCAAATATTTTCCCATGCAGCCTTACCACTCAGTCAATGAGTACATAATATCATATCTTAATCCTTTCACTTCCTGCAGTAATCAATAAGTAAAATCTCCATACAATTTTCAAACAATATTTTCCAGACAGGTAATGAAAACGAAGAAAATTTTCAACAAAAGGGATATTTGTCTTGATATCACAATAAATTTTCAGTACCAGCCAACAAAGTAATTTATGGTCATAGCTTAGGAGAATTAGCTTTCTGATATTGAGAATGAAAGGTTTAAAGCAAGGTTAATCAAAGACTTCACATATGCATAGGAAAACTACCAACCTTCAATAGCCATTTGTTATAAAATGTTAAGCTGATGGAGGATATGTACATCAACAAAATATAACTAAGATTTCTGAAAGCTCGCCTTAACTGCTGGAAACCAAACAGCTTTTTGGCCATGAAAGAAACCAACGTGAGTGATTCACAGTTAGCAGTGACGTGGATGAACCTTTAAATCGATATTACTGCTCTTCCTTGTCGTGAGGTACCAACAAGAAAGGAAGACGAATTCATTTCTTTCAGTTATTAGAATCTCCAAAAAGTATCCTTTAAGAGACGCGGGAATGTTTATGTTATCTCGATTCAGCATGTAATGAAAACTCGTGATGGATTTGAAAAACTGAGGTCTCCATATTGCTTAGTAACCAATCCAATTACTGTGAATGCCTGGCTACTAAGGAGAAAAGAAAAATAGGCCCGCATATCGCCCACAGTACAAACAGAATTGTGTGCTCAAGCGCACGTCTTCCCTCAAGCTGTAGAGGAACTGAATTTCCCCTGTGGTGCAGGTGCTTACTTAGAAACGAAAAAGAGTTTCGTATCGTAAAAATAAAAAATTCTATTCCAAGTGGGATCATTGAAAATCGACTCACGAGGGCAAAAATCATTTCTTGTAAACAAGTGTCTCTTGGACAAAATTTGGTTGAAAATACACGACTAGAGTTTAAAGCTAATCAGAGTATTTGTTTACTTATAGGGTCTGATACAGTCACTAGGCATCTTTAAAATAAAGCATAAAGGGGTTAAGTTTCTAAAGAAACTGTGGTGCTATGTCAGGGAAGTTACTGTAGGATAATTTGGTTTTATCAACTGATAATGTAAACTGGCCACAGGAAAGAGTTACTAAAGCTGACATTTTGAGCGTCAAAGCGAATGGAGGAATTATGAGTTGTGTGTGGTTTTTATACAGGAATGTGGAACTAGACTACTGGTAAGAACATGGTGACATGGAAAACACAAGAACAATTTATTTGAATCAAAAGCGTTCGTTCATTCGTTGATACCGTGGCAACCAAGAGTGCCGATTTTAAAGGTGAATTTTTGTTCAAGAATTTGCGGCTCTTAGAACTGCCCAGATGTAAGGAATGAAGGGCTGACGCTCGAAACGTTAGTCTTAGAAACCCTTTACGGTAGCCAATTTACATTATCAACTCAGTCGATGAAGCCGTAAAGTTAACCATCAGAAAGGTTCAGCGAGAGGTATAGCTAAACTGACAAAGGGATGCGCGGTTTTCAACCGATAAAGGAATGTGCGGCCAAGGTAACAAAGCCAACAATAGCCTCGTTCCTTTTTTTTTTCCAGCCAGGTCACGGGCATCAAATGGTTCATCACTTTTCCGTTAAGAGGCTAAAACTGATTCCAACTCCCTCGTTCTGCACGTCAACCGTAACTTATGCTCTGGCCTCTTCAATAAATAGAAAACTAAAAATTTTTAGAGTGACGTTCGGCGTGAAAGCTTTTACGACATTTCCGCTTTTATTTAAGCCAGACTGACACAAATCTTAGAACAAAAGTCTTTATAATGAAAAACCATTTTACCGATGGGCTATCACAGGTTGTAAGTTTTCCTTCACGAGGCTATCGTCTCATGATAACTCAATAAAATCTACTCAGTTTTTCTCGCTAAACCGAATCGAGACAGACATCATTCTATGTAAAGGGGTTAGGTTTCTACAAAAAACTGTGTTGCTACGTCGGAGGGGGTATTACATAGATAATGTGGTTTTAAAAACTGAATTGAAAAACTCTTTACGGTGGCCGATTTACATTACCAACTCAGCTGATAACACCAAATTACCATCTTGTATAAATACCTTTATCCCACAGAGTTCATCAATGACAATGCTTTTGTGCAGCTCGCACATCATTCAATACAATTCCAGTTGAGGAGATATGAGAAAATGCTTTTGTGCAGCTCGCACATCATTCAATACAATTCCAGTTGAGGAGATATGAGTTACCGGAGATTCATTATGGATGAAATTTATTTTTCTTGGTCCTATCGTCATCGCAAAAGAAATTTCTAAGGGTATTAGGTATGCCTTCTCTCTTTTTTTCTCTCTCCCTCTTTCTCCATCTATCTCTCTCTCTTAGAGCGTAACACGCAAAATTTCGTGCAATTAGGCACAAGACTAACACGTTAAAAAAAACAGCAAACTGACGTCAATGATAGAATTGTTTCCAACACAAGTAACATTAAAGTTCAAACTGCCACTAAAGTTCATTTTTAACTTTGTTTTATCTTATTTATGCTTACTTTGCTTTGCTTTGCTTTGTACTTTGCCTTGATATTTCCAAAGAATGTGAATTCTGAATTTTTATGAAAATGAAAAGGCCAAGCTTTACTGGGAATACAGCTAGCAAGAAATTACCTACCTTACAATAAATTTAGAAAAACCCTGTCCACCTCATGCTGAATTGTATTTAAAGGAAAAAAAAAGAAAACGAAACTAAAGATTTAAAAAGACGTTGAGCATAAGGTGCTTGAAAGCAGTCTTACGCTTGAATTGAAAAGCTTGAGTTTTTTTTTTTTGTTTTTATTTTCTTAATTTTCGTGCAACTTTTATGAAGAATAAGCCCGAATTGTCTTTTGTACGGGCGGTCTAGGGCACAAAAGGTTGGATTTTCTAAAGGAAAATGCAGCTGGCGCTGGTGTAATATTAATACCGCCTGCCTTGGGCAAATTGCACGCACTAACCCAAATACAACCGAAACGAGTCGAGACAAGATTAAGTCAGATGTAGTTCCAGTCTAATCAGGTAAGACTTATTTTACACTCATAAACTCTTTAGAAGTTACCTTTCGACAAATCCATTGATCTTACATGGACCGTACTTATAGAAATATATATATATAAAAACAAACAAACATACAAACAAAGAAGGAAAATTAAAAAATGGTAACAATAATTAGTTCAGCATTTGAACAAAATTTTGGCGAAAGAGTTCTGTTGCCCTGTTAGTACATTTTTTAAGGGGGTTCATGATCTGTAAGCGACATTTTAGAAATTTCATGTCCACACAGCCAAACAGAAAATGACTGATCAAATTTAAAGTAGTTGAATCGCCTTAGAGCTTGTCTGTCTGCACATAAATTTATTTCAGACCCATTTAAATGCAATAAATTGGCGATATTTCGGAAGCTTTTAATCTCACATCGTTCGGGGGAACATGATATAACTCAAGTACGTCCTTGACACGAAAGTACAAACAGATGACAGATGAGCGCAATTCCATTTAGCTACCTCGTCCAGCTAACGTAGCCAGCTCATTTTCACCAAGAGGCAAATACATCAGTACTGCATTGAAAATGTCTGAAACTGTCATCGCTCTTTATGCAAATAAAATTCATGGAAAAAAACCGCGTAATCCATTTTCAGATACGGAAAAATATAAAAAAGTTAACCATCTTGGAATCCAAAACGAAGATTTAGCAAAAAGCAGTTTTACACGGATAATTCAGTTTGATTACCTGCGGAAGTCATTCATTGCCACATTTTCTATTCTTATCCTAAATCATCACTTGAACATGGGTCTATTATCAGTCAAAGACGAATTTGAAGAAAGCCTCAGTTACATTAAATCTGGTGGATATGATATGACCATTTCTTTTTACTCCGCTCTGATTTGGCCTCCGCCCATGGTGATGCAGCATTTTTGGTGACTAAAAAAAAACTTCTCTGATAATGAAAAGTTCCGTGTAGTGCGCACATGCGCAATCATTCACGTTGAGCCGAGGCAGCGGTTCATTTCTAGCGGTTCATTTCCAGATTTATGCGGAACAGAGCAAAGCTTCGATTTACCAGTCCTCAAAAGGTTAGCTCCCACTTCTTAGATTTTAGTGTGCCATGATTTAATTCATGTCTGCCTGTGGGTTGATCTTGGGCCTCGCCGGTCTAAGTTGTTGTTGTTGTTTTTTTTTTTTTCCAACTGTATATAATACTTCTAATCACAAACCCATAATATTTGATGTGTTGTCGTCTTGGGTTACGTTTGGGTCGTTGTTAACTCAGTTTTTTCTATCGAAAAAAACCTTTTGATTCAAGACAACTTGCTACGTTGGAAATTTAGAAACGAGGTAAACTGCAAATTAATTTAGAAAACTGGAACAAGGATCGATTAAAAGGATAAGACAGTTGTGACGCTGATAGCAAATGTCGAAATTAAAAGCATCAGAACAAATGATTTGTTTTATCATCTGCCTGGGTTTGACAAGCTGAACAAACACAGAGAGGGAAAATGTCATGTGAAGCTGAGAAAGCTTGCCATCAAACGAGAAACTGATGACATAAGACCTATAGACGGGACAACTGTTGCCATGAAAATCTTAGTGAACGAGGATAGAGGATATGTTTCTCGCAACCATTTTAAGATAAAACTAAGGACATCAAAGGTAAAGTTAGAGGAAGAAAGCTAAACTCACAACCGACCATGTAAAATCCAGTTGCAGGTTCTTTTGAGTAAACTTTCAATTAAAGGGTATCCAATTACTAATAAATTGTTTTCTATTTTACAATAGCCGAACTTCCGTCGGAATCATCATGGCGAGGATATTCGACTGCATGAAAACCACGTTATTGCTTTTGATAATCATCTGCAATGAGCGCTCAATTACTGTTTGTATGCCATGGAGTTTTCAAAGTGACCAGAAATTGCAAACTCCGGCTAAGCTGCCTGGAAATTATCTTTGGCCTCCACGTAAACCTCTAACGAAACAAACAGATAAAGGTTCTGGGTTTTTCTCCGTAGTTTCGAATAGAGAAGACGACCTTAAAACGTTGACCACCATCACAATAAGAAGTGCTGGATATGATTTTATGACCAGTCATGAAAAATCTCTCAGAATTCGGCGTCAGATAATTACTCGCACTATAACCGAGCCCTCAGTCGTGTCCTCAGTTAAACCCTTTGCGGAAGACTTGGTCGAGCTGGAGCTGGAAATGAGCCAAAAGGGTAACCCAGAGCCTGGGCCTGAGTGGCCAACTGCGATTCAGGCCTGGGGAAAAGCCTGGGACCTACATGTATATGTGTTTGCAGTTCTTTACATCTTAATCACAATAGCTTCTGGCTATGGACTTGCTTATGATCTCTTCAGAAATCAAGGAATCAAGGGACTCAAACTGACTTTGTTTCTGACATTTTTATTTCTGGGTTCCTCACGTGGTATCATGCTGCTCGTCGATCCTTACAACTCACGAGGAATTTTGGACCTCTACAGTTCGTATGTCACGTGGTCATTAGGCTTCCCGTGTGTCCTCACGGCCCTTGGTCTTTTGCTCTTGGTATTTGGGGAGGCAACCAGTATGGAGATCGCCCCTCCACGATTTCAGAAATTATCCACGGCGCTGGGAATCATGGCTTGCAATATAATTGTAGTATTGGGAGTAGATATCGTCTTCTTACTCGCCAAGAAGTTCATCTCACTTCTGATAATTTGTCATATTTATTTCGTCCTTTTTGGCATCATTTTGACCGTTGGTTATTGCTGCGTAGGCTGTAAATTATCCTGCAACTCGGCAGCAAGTGTATATGGTGATACAGGACTTTTAAGACTTAAAATGTTTGTGTTCACCCTAGCAATGCTGAATGGTCTTTTCATTGGAATTCAAGTCTTCTCAGCTTTTGACTTCGTCCTTCATCCAGGGGCTCTCAGCGCTTGGCCATGGTACGCTGTCCAAACCTCCCTGCGGGCGCTGGAGGTGAGCATGTGTTTAGTGATGTTATTGATTGCATTTAACAACAGAGTGAGATCATCGCCACCTCAAATGAGAACTTCTTTTCACTTCCGCAATACTGTTACACCGTTCCAAGCGTGGGAACCCTCAGAAGGGCAGAAAAGTTAAGAAGATACTTAAAAAGATATTGGAGCTTCAGCCGGAGTCGATTCTTAGAGCAAACTTTTAATGGCAAAGGGAAATCTTACAGCTATAATAAGTGTCTGCTGAAGCGTCAGTCAAATCCTATGCATACGATTCATGCTCATAATAATATGATACTTGTTTTGTATTTCACCTGTGAGCTTATTAGACGGCGAGACTCATGTTCTCGAGGTTATTGCCGTATTTAGTATGCAAAGGAGATTAAACCAGTCCATTTTGTTTTCAATGTAAGACTTTAAGTTATCAGCCTAGAGTTTTGCAGTTCAAATTTAAAAATAAAACATTTTTTTTTTATGTGCCAAAAGTAGTGATGCATGAATTCTTGAGAAGCCGTAAATAGCTCATTATTTGTATCAATGGTAATGTTTGACCCGCCTAGAATAAAAATCTCACACTGAAGTTAAGATTTTGCTGATATATCTTTGGGTAACATGCAGGTCTTTTGCATTGATCACGTTAAATTTACGAAGTCGTCTCTAAAAACTGACTCAAAAACTCCACTGAACTTAAGCAGCTACAGCTGTGAGAGCAAATATAAAGCTGTTCCATACTCAAACCTCAAATATTCACTAAGCAGTCCAAAAATGACTACATTTCACGGAATGTTTTCTTTTCGTGGTTTCACAGTGGGTGACACCACAAGCGTTCCTCGTTTAAAAAAACACCCGTAACTGAAAAACAGAAACAGAAATCATCAGATGAAACAAAGCAGAGCTGACATGAAAACCACTCCGTCGTCGAGATTTTTCCCCTTGCGTTGAACCCTTTGTAGTTAGTATGTCGTGATCTATTTTATAAATGGGAAACACTTGCGATAGCCGTTATAAGCTTCGGGTAGTTGCGTCGTTGGTGCTTCAGGTAAGCTTTTTCCATCTACATCATGGGTTTGCGCTAAGAAAAAAATGGTAGTGCTGTTATTTTGAATACCATTTCATTTGTACTTCAGGTCTGGTTTCAAATATTGGATCTGGGACAAGTCATTTCACTTGAGAATCAAGGTAAACTATAAAAAGTTTTGCCGATAAAATCGCACTTGATTACGGTTAGGGTCTTACCGACTTGTTTTCGATAGTTAAGTACCGAGATTCTGATTAATTCTGATACCTAAGAATAAAATACTTAGGTGGTAGGAACTTTTCCGAAATTTAGTTAGCATTTCAACTTATTTTCATCCGACAAAATCTATAAAGGAAAGGTGAATTTGTGAAAATTTAACACAATCAGTAAACACCGCATAGCGTTATGATTTTAACTACTTTGGCCTCATAGCGAGATCATCTGAAAATAAAAAAGTATATTCTCTCCGAAAATGTAATTCACAGATATATCATGAGAGGGAATTTTTTTTTAAAGGCAAGGAGGACACGTTATGAGACACTAAAATAAATCCAACTATGTAATCATTTCAGATTGAGAATTTCGATCGTGACGATTAAAGAATATATATATGTAACTTCTATGTCTTAAAAATCTACACACGAAGATTTCATTTTTGTTGCATGGAAATTAACCATGCCCTTGATAAATCGAACGTGCGGTCCGCTCTATTTTTCGCCAGTAACTATTTGCGAAGGCCATTTCAATTATTCTCAAAACATCTCCTGGAACATCTCCAAAATAAACATTTTGAATTTGTGATGAACGTCCAAATTGCAACTTTTCCAGACAATGTGAAGATTATGTCAATCAGCTCAATCGGAAAATTACCACTTGTGAAGCTCCCAGCATAAATGCACGACTTCTGAAAGACATTTTTTCCGCTCGTTATGCGTATTGTTATTGAATTCGCCGATTATGGAATTTGGACAAATACATTCAATTCTGAAAGTGGTTAAGACAACATAATTTTTTATGCACTAATAATACGAATTCAACTTCATCTGTCTTGAAACTGTTTTTGAGTTTCGTCCAAAGTGCTTATTTTAAACTCTTACCAGCAAATTCGGTGGTTAAATGAGTTTCGTCTCTGAGTTGCAAAACAAGTGAAGCGATAAAGCACCACAGCGCGATTTCCAAACGTGTAGGGTTTGCTCCATCCATGCGGAGCTCAGACTTTTCTTTGTCTCGCACTCATGACAAGACGAATAACATCTTTCTTTCTTTCTTTAAGTTAACCCTTTCACTCTCAAGATCTCATTTTTAATTCTCCTTACTGTGTGCCGTACAATTCTTATGATGCTAGTTCGAAGAGATTGGTATTAGATCAACTGGTATTACCCTGATTAATAATATTATTTATTCCTATCACTCTTCTGCTTGATATGGTATTTGGCAAGGAGAAAGTACGCTTCTATGCTAAAACAAGTGTTAGATAACCACAGACTTAAATCGGAGATTTGACTATGAGCCTTGCATAATTTGAGTAGATCAGCATTAATCATAACAGAGATGAACCATAAAAAATTTTGGAAGTTGTTTGATAATTTACTTTGATTTATATATCAGTTCTGCAACACTGTAACCTGTCAACAAAGGCCGCAGTCCTCTTGCCTTTTAATGAACACTACAGAAACAAAGAAGCCCTGAATGGTAGCTTGAAAGTGCGCATGTCTAACATTGAGTTTGTTTCCGGTATCGATGGCGAGCCAGGCGGGGCCATTTTATTCAAAGGAAGCCAAGACTCTTACGTCGAGATTGAGGCGGACAAGCAGATCGATTTTGGCTATTCTTTAACAATTCTGTCTCATATTTTACCATTTGAAAGTCACACTGGACCAATTGTTCATTACAATGCCGATCAGCACGGAGTACAAATGTGGATCCAGGGAACTATGGAGGAGAAAGGACGGTTATCTGCGCGATTTAACAAAAGAAACCTTTCCTATTCCAAATGGTTGCACGTTGACGTCATCAACGTGGGGACGTGGAATTTTATTGGTGCTTCTTATGATCACATGACAGGCGAGGCCTCTTTGTATCACGATGGAGTCCAAGTTTACAGTACGTCTATAGGAAAGAATATATATTTGGCGACGCAATACGAGATCAGGATTGGTGCCATGTTATTGCCATTCTTGGGGAAATACAAAGGCAAAGTCGCTTGTGTTCAATTTTATTCTAAAGCACTTCAGCGGCAGGAAGTTGCAGCGGCGAGGCGCGCTTGTATGCCAGGTATGTACACAATTTCTGTGACTGCTTTAACTGTTTAACAAGACGGCACCCTTCACTCGATGAGGAGTAAGTTCGACTTATATCCAATATATAGCAAGCTCCTGTGATACAAATACGCTAATGCTGATGTATATAGTGCTTATATCGTTATATTAAATTTCAATTGAGTGTCGAAAGCCATGCGGGATTGTCTTAGGTTCGTTTTCCTTCGCTCTGTGATTGGTCCAGAAAACTCGGGCCACCTTCCTAATCAATCAGATGCAAAAGAAAAACAACAGAGACTTCAACGCTCTTCTTTCTTTGAGCTCTCATTGGCTCCGTGTTTTATTTACCTCCTCAGTGATGTGGATTTGCGTTAACTTTGGCCTAGGTTTGACAACGCTCAATCGAAATGCCCTTACCTGGATGTGATAACCTTAAGTCAAACGACATACCGTGTTATTAGCTGAGATAGTTCTGGCTTGAATTGTATAGAGCTACTTAGATAGCTTTTTTATTCATCGAGAATATGTTACTGCTCATCGCCTTACAGGGGAACATGAAATGGAGTTTTTTTGTTTAGTTTTTGTTGAAAAATAATTGTTTTCGTAGACTTTGTTGAGAAATAACTGTACTTAATGGTAGTAGTGCTGTTGGTTGGTTTTCCTAGTTATAGAAAATGCCCCACAGCTATTCTTCCAAGGACTTCTTCAAATCTGATCTTACAAGTAATTGGTTACTGTCGGCAGTTCGTGATCTCAAATGCTATTGAGAAAATGTAATTTCTATTTCTTAGGGCGACTCATTTGGTTTAGGAACAAAGATAACGGGGTTAAGTTTACACATTCAACAATCGCTGGGTAGAGTTTAGAAACTTCATTCTTGACACAAATGTATCCTGTTTTCAGTTGTGCCTTTGCAGTATCTCTCTCTCAACCTAACCTCGCCATCGCACCTGGTGGAGGTGAATGAAACAAAGTTAATAGTCAAGGCAAGTGCAAATGAGAACGCCACGAAAGCTAGCTTCCAGTTCGACTGGGGAGACGGCATAGAAACATGTAGGGGAGTCTGGGACACAAGTGATCACATGTACCGCTCTATCGGTAACTATACGTTGCGTGTGCATGCTTGGACTATGTGCAACACAAGTATGTTGTCTGCTACAGCTAACATATCTGTTCCTACGCCAGCAATCATTCTTGAGAATGTGACCCTGCAAAGTACCGCAACAGTGTTTGGAGAGGCAACTCAGTTTCGTCTCTTTGTGGGAAAAGGGTCTCACTTTGAATGTCTCTGGTCACTGGGTGATCATGTTAATTTCACTACGTATACCTCTCGAACTGATTCGAGAACTTTAGTTCGGAATTATACCTTCACAGTCCCTGGTGATTACAAGGTTCGGGTCACTTGTAGAAACAGAAGAAGCGAATCAACCGTTAGTATTATAGTTCTTGTTCAAAATCGTATCAAGGGCCTTACTATTTATCCGATACCTCCGATATTGTTTGGAACTGAGTTCAAAGTACGATGGAAAATAGACAGCGGCGAGGGTGTCACGTACAAAGCAACTTTTTCCGCCGCCTCATTGCAAGTTGCTGCAAAGACAGAGAAAGATTTGCATGGAAACGCTCTTGTAACAATGCAGCAATACAAAACTCCGGGAGAATTCCTTGTTTACGTCGCTGCTTCCAATGCAGTCACGAATTGGATCTCCGCATGGACAAAATGCAACATTTTTCGACCCATTAATCCCTTCACTCCTATCGTTCTTAATAGTTCCAGGGATATAGAGATTAATAGAACCATCACTATCTTGTTCACAAACATCTCCTCCATCTCTGGAACAAATGTGTCGTATCTCGTAAACTTTGGAGACAACAGTGAAGGAATAGTCACCCATAGATCGTACGTTAGTTACTCGTATAGTCTGCATGGTCTTTACACAGTCAATATTACAGCAATAAATGAAGTATCTACCTTCAATACTAGCATTACCATCAAGGTTCACAAACCAGTCTTGAAATTAGAAGGGGCTAGTATTCCATCGCTCGTTGCAA